TCTAAGTTACTTTAAGTACACCGGTGAATTTTTGAAGTGTTTTTGAATTTGGATTAAAATATCTCAAACAGACCAACAATCGGACCTGCCGTGTTAGAGAGGAAAAAAATGGAACAAGTTTGGTTGGACATATGGATTCAAATATTTCAGAAACTAGAAATCGGAGCTGGATATTTTAAGAAAGTTAAATGTTCATCATTTCATCCTCTTTGTAATGAGCAATTATTCAAAATTATTGGGACGCCGCGTTAGAAAGGTGAAAAGGGAAAAATAGTGTCGAAAACCAACTGATAACGATTTTTATTGAAGATATGGACTAAAATATTTCAGAAACTTAGAATCGAACCTGCATACTGTAAGCGAGATAAATGTTTAGCATTTTATCCTCTTTGTAATTGTCTACTATTTATAATTATGTCTTAATGAGACACTGTGTCAGAGAGGCAAAAATAAGCGAAAGCAAGGCGAATAGGCAAAAATATAGCGTTACTTGTGGGTTTAAAGTAGAAAAGATCCGAAAAATAACCAAATATCGCTTCTATACTATCAGCAAGAGACATCTATACTCATAACGAGTGAATCACAAGGGATCAGGAATAGATATTTCTTAATAATTAATTATTAAACTGAAAGGAAATTTTCATGCGGAACAAGCTAATCACATAAACTGTTACTTGGATTGTTGAGTAAAAATATAAATCTTCAGCAATTGAGTGTCCGGATAATAATAAATTGTATATACGAATAAAAATGATCTAATGTGAGATGTTCTTGCTAGGGCGTACTGGTTATTACTATATTTACTTCAAGTAGGTAAGATAAAACTGTATTTATTTCTAATAAAAATGTATCTAATAATAATAAAAAAAAATATATATAAATTGAGTAAAAATGGTAGAAGAAAAATTTTGAGGATTTGGAAAGGGCTGGAGGAATTGAGATAGTATTGGAATGTCGACATTACTAGAAGTGATATAAAGAGAAAGTCTGCAAGGGAAGAATAGAAAAACTTACCGGGAATAGAAAAAAAAGGAGACAGATTGAGCCAGACTATGTATAGAAGATAAGACATTGCTGATGGAGAAAAGCCTGAGAGAGCAAACAAAAATAAAATAAATACATCAAAACATTAATATAATATGACATTAATTATTTTTCTAAATTAAATGAAAATTGGAACCGAATCCTATAACTTTTATATGGATTTTCATATCTGTAGTACCCGAGAGCTCCCTCTTACCTCTTAATCCGCTGTATTTAAAGTTATCAATGTTATTAATTTTAACACATTTTCATTGTCGCTTTTAGGGCGGGTCAATCGATCGGGGGCGCCGACATCAAGGGGGCGCCGATCGATCTTAAGTGGCGCTCATCACTTGTTAAAAATAAAAATAAAAATACAAAAGTATTAAAATAATTAACTTTAGTCTTTTAATAAAGTAACTATACTAGAGAAACATTGAATGAAATATTACATAATTTAAACCAGCTTAAGAAATACATTTAATTTTTTTAGGGGGAGGGGAGATGACCTAATTTCCGTGGGGTACCGAATGTCTAAGACTGGCACTGCAAATAAAGGGATTTGCGAGAAATTGAGCTATTGAATTCAGAATATTTGAATAACTTTATTTTATATTCATTTTTTTAAATTTAAACAGAAAAAAGAAAAGTTAATATGTGTAATTATTATGAATATCTAGTCAAATTCAATCACTTGATAGTAAAAAACCTAGTAAAGGAATTAACAAAATTAATTTCAGATACTTCTGAGTTAATCATATAATCAATTATTCAGTCATAAAGAATCAATTATCTGAATAAAAAACACTGAACCTGTAAAGGAAAGAAAATTACTTGTCATAATTCATCATCATATTATATAATTATTCTACTTTTTATGAAATATATCGCCTATAGTCAATGATTCGTGATACAGTGTACAATTTCACAAACATCCTGATATCTCGTATAAATTGAAAAAATTATCTTTGTTAAAGAGCAAATGTTTCACGGTAGAGGAAATAAATGTTATTCTTTTATAAGACAATTTCAACATTCCTGATCTTTCGAAAATTAATGATTTAAGCAAAAATTTCACATTTAAGTTAAATACGCATACAGAAAATTTAAAATTGGTTCTCTATTAGCCTTAACTTCAACTTCTGGAATGGTAGTCAAATTATAAATTAGAACTAGGCGTAACAATATCATTGAACGGGTAAATTGGGCCATTACTGGTAAATTTGAAAAATTGCATTTTTCCCTAAAATCCTACTGATTCTTACTAATCATTTCAATGCAAACATTTACCAATTTTAATTAGAATTTTTTTTGCTATTACAATTAAAGAATCACAACGACAAATATTCTCAGGAGTTGATATTTTTACAGACAATCTTTCCAAAGTTCAATTGTACATTGAAATATCAACGGGAGAAAAAATTTACAATATAAAATTTGAAGAAATCCTATAAATTTGTTTTCTCTTACAGTATAAAGCTGCCGTAGGAGTATTTTGATAACAAATATTTTTGCTACATATAGTTGAGAAAAACTATTTTTCTTTAAGCCGTAGGTTAATGGGTAAGGTATGGTAAGGTTAATTAACTTAACCGCAGGAAAAATAAATGAGAAAAATCAACAAGACACGAATAAAATATTATTCTAATAATAAATCAACACTATAACGGTTTTGAGCATATATTGGATTTTAGTGACTAAATAAGCTGACTTTATTTATATTCAATGATTTTTTTGAAAAATAAAACTTCTTTCGAAAGGCAACAGACAAATTTTAATAATAACTGTAAATAAAACTGTAATTTAATTAAATAACTATAATTAAATTAAATAAATAAATTTAATTTAATTTTTGAGAATGATGAAGCTATTGTGAATTATCTTTTTAATTATATAAATATATACATATATTATCAATAATAAATAATAATAATAATAATAATATATATATATATATATATATATATATATATATATATATTTCAATTTTCCTATACATTTATTTTGTTTGTTCTTTGTTTGAATTTAGGATTTTTACCTTACACTCATTCATATTTACAAGAATATTTTTTTTCCATATAATAAAATATCTTATATAAAATGTTAAAAATAATAGAAAGAACACGGAGGTTTAAAAGTTCTCACCGTTTCATTATGATAATTATATTTGTTTCATGAACGAAACATATTTCATTTTTCTAATTCTCCTCCAAAAGAATTAAAATTAATTCTCTTCTCCTCCGTTTTCCTTAAAATATCTCTTCTTTTTTTCTAATAAACATCTATATTTCTGAAAAAATTATTATTCTATTTTACTACGAGGTCCTTTTAAAAATACTACTACATAAGAATGGAAAATTACACTTGTCATTACAAAAAACTTTAATTCTTAAAAATCCTTTACTTTATTTGGATCTGAGTTTACAGTTATTAATGATTTTTTTTTTAAATATATCTTTAAAGAACAGTTTCTTAATATTATTAAGTATGAGGAATCGAGATGACAGATAGCTTGACTAGGAAATGACCACAGAAGATTAATAGATCGTGTCATCTTTATTCGAAATGGTTTTGTTTCAAAGTTAACGCTGTAACTTTGTAAAACTTTTTTAAGTATGAACCAAACAGACAATATTGAAATAATTATGATCTATGGTTGTCTAAGGCATGGGTGCCCAGAAGGAGGTTTCATAGCGCAAGTTGTGCCATGAAAATATTTTAGGGGGGCATCTTTTGACGAGTTTTCGAATTTTTGAACTAAGATACAAGGAGAAAAACATAGAATATACCTCGGAAAGTGTAATTGTATATGCTCTACGATTTTTAAAATTCTACTTACTACTTCTTAACTTGATCTGTTTTTAAGACTTTTCTTAAAAAATGAAATATCTTGAGCAATGAAATATCTTGGAAGGGGGAGAGTGGGGGGGGGGTAGTTTACGCCATCGACTTTAGGGGGATTGGCACCCCTGTCCGAAGGTTGAAATACAGGCGCTTTTCTTATTGCTGTTATATTATCACATAATCAAAATAGAAATAATATTTCAATTATTTTATGAGTAAATAAATTCTGTTATTGCTATGTGGCGAATAATGTTAACTACTTCTAGTACATCTTTATAGTTATATATTTTTTTCTGTTGGCATTACAGACCATGTAGATCTTTTGCCACCTTAACAAGTCTGATCTATCTCTGCCTGTCTTGGGCTATTTCTTTTCATTTATCTGCACCAGCTCTATTGCATATTTGTTGATTCTATCTATCCATCTGCTTTTTGGCCTTCCACGTGGTCTTTTGTCCTCTATTGAAGCATTCATCGTTATGTAGAGGCTTCCAGATGGATTGCTACGAGCTACATGCCCCGCCCATCTTAACCTCCGTGCCTTCATATCATGGGATATTGATTGACCAGTTTCTGTAAGCAGTTCCTTATTGGTCTTTCTTCTCCATGTGTAAGTTACAAATATTTAAATATAAATTTGGAATGCAATTATTTAATTTACTTGAACCTTATTTGGACAAAGTAACAGGATATAGAAGAGCACATTCCATGCTTGGTGCGTCAGGTTTACAGTCAATTGCCATTTATTTGTCAATGCTCTAGTTTCACTTATAGTGAACAGAGCGCATTGGTATCAACTGCTTTTCTATCTTCATCAACGGCTTCAGCATTTTTTGACAATGCAGGGAAAGTTTGAGAGCATCCAGTGCTAATTATTAATGTATTAAGTAATGAATGAACTCCTTTCTACTCTCAAATATATACCTTTACAATAACTCATTGCATATAATTAATTTTTATTTATTAATATTTTAAAATATGTAAATAAATATTCATCGCCGTTGATGGGAATCATTTTTAAACGTTCTTATGATCAATGGAGACATTGAATTCATTTAGGGAAATTTTGATTTAATTTAGCAATTATATCTAGTGCTTATTTTTACTAGTTTACTAATAAAAAACATTTTCAGCCAAAATTTTGGTTCTACAAAGAGTTTCGTGATTATCTAGAGAATCAGGGATTTATGGAGAACATGGTAGATGTAATTGTGAAGATGTTTGCCAAGCACCCAGAGTTACCAGATTGTCCTTTATCGTAAGTTTCTTACTTAGGTTTGCTACTTAGTATTTATCAAAAATAAAGAAGTACTGTTTCGTGTAAACGATTAGATCACTTAGATTGTACAAAAAAAAGTATTGCTGGTTTATTACAAAAGGACATTATGTTATATTTTATAAAATTAAATCACATATTACTTTGATTACTATGAATTAATCCCTGTGAAATCAGACACTATGCAATTATAAGGAGTAATTATATTTGATACATATATAATAGGTTTAGTGTCATCCAGGGGCTAATCTGTTTTTGTATCCATAAATAAGGCACGGAATTCACTAAAACGTACATAAAAGTTTAGCTTCACTAAATATTTACTTAGTGGTTATATGTAATGAGCCAACCATTCGTTTATTTTAAATATGTTTCTAGACAGAAAAAAAAAATCACAAATACCTACAGGATTAAAATGTTTCAATGAATTTATTATCAGATTAAATGATTAGTCATAAAATGCTTCCAATTGCTCAGACCCTTTCGATATATGTTATTGGAAATTAACGATTCTAATAGTAGTTTTAATGTGAATAAAATAACTAAAATCGAAGTATCATAATTTCTTGGGCTTCCGAGTTCGTTTAATATGGTAAGAACATTGATCCCCTATGCGCAAGTTGTGGAAAACCGAAGACCAACTAGCACATCGTCCATTCTGTACCACTTACAAGGCACTGAGGTCTATTTGCTTAAAAAAGCTCAAGGCTCTAATGGTAAACGATCTTCCTCAACTAATGACCAACCTTAATACAAGACCTTTGTGTATGAGAGAAGGAACCGGTTGGTTCCACCCACTTCTCCTTGGGTAAAAGAGATGAATCTACATCCATAAGGCCATGAGAAATGGATGAGGATGACGTTGGTTGAAAAGAAGAGCAAACGTTGTGCATAGTTGAAATGAAAAATGTAATTGTCGTCTTTGCAGAAGTGTTGTAACGCAAAAATGTGTTACTACCCACTGCTGTGCATAACATCAGTATCGCCTTATAGCAGCGTAGGGTTTCAAATAATTAATAGAGAACACTGGCGGCTCTGATTGAGTGAAGCTTGAATCGTCAATGAGTTGGAGAGTTATCGAAGAAGAATTTTCAGACAAATAACAAAAATTACTGAATTTCTTCCTTTCTTTTAATTTTATATATATATTTTTTTCAGATTTATAAGAGATAATTATGGTATCTCGCAGAAAGAGGAAGAGCGCCTCATAGCAGAATGGACAGCAGTGACCGAAGAAATGTTGATGCTGCAAGATGAAGCGAAGGCCTTAGAGAAGAGGATCACTTGGCGGCTCAAACAGCCGAGAGAGGAAGAAGACATTACAGAAAGCGATATGGACAAATCCAAATCGCAAATTCGCCGAATGTCGGAGCCGAAGAAGAAGAAACTGTACGATGAGATGCTCGCTAGGGAAGAAGCGTCGTCGAGTAAACCGTCCTCTTCCTTCCATTGGGTGTGCTCTGACCCGTCTTCAGTGCCGTCCTCTCACTCGTCTTTGAGGCTGGTCGGGTCGGAGATCTCCCTTCTTCCATTCGAAGAGGAACAAGAACAGGAGGGTAACGGTACTCCCCACTACGAATATGACGACTTCAAGAGGACAGAAGGATCTTCGTCTTCTTTAGATGTTGGATCTATTGAATTAAATTAGTAAATAAACGCATTGCATTTTTTTTTTTCGTATAAAAATATATCAGGATAACCATCTAATCTTATTCAGTTATCGACACTTCAAATAGAAGCTTAAAGTTTTAAGAATCGAGGATGGTGATACAAAGAAATAATATGTATTTGACAAATAATAATTATTTCACTCGTCTGGTGCAATTGAGTGCCATCTTCTTTTTTTCTTGGAAGTCTTCTATTATATATTTTTTTAATATAATATAAATTTAAAAAAATCATATTTTTAATTATAATAGGTATGTGCTGCAATACAAATTTATTTTATTTCCTTTGATGATAAGCTGAGTAATTTAATGCATGATCCATATTTAAACGATAAAAAAATAAGGTTAACTTTAATTATAAAACAAAAAATATGAGCATAGATGTTTAAGAAAATTACCGAATTGATATTTTGCAGTAAGGTAGGAACAGAAATACACCTAAATATGAAAACATTAAACATTTTCCCAATAAAATTCCAATTTTTGCAATTTGTCCAGTAGATTGTAAAATAAACGTAAAAAAAAATCAGAGAACATTGATGCTAAGTTACTATGGGAAAAACCCTCTTTTTGGCATCTATCTCATCCAATTACATATGTTGCCAATAATTTATTTTTTTTAATTTTCAATTTATAAATATTTGTCAATAAAGAAAAAAAATATTAAACGATACTAGCAATATAAAACTAGATATAAACTAAATTAAAGACATTTATTATTTTTAGATATTGGAAGAAAAGTAAATATTTGTTTTGTTGTTTCCAATTCGAACAGTTTCTGATGATTTTATTTATACTAAGCAGCCGTTAGTGTCCACTCCCATAACATGTGTGTATTTTTGTTCAAATTAATTCTTCGAACATATTGCTCGCCTCACGCATATGCAACATTTGAATGCGTAGAAGTAGTGTATTTATTTAGTAGAAGTGTTTATTTATAACAATGGCGGGCTCTTCAATCTCTTACGGGTCATTTTAGCCCTTACACATTTTTTATATTACATCATATAAATTGAAAGTACAAAATATTTAAAACATTAACATTCCAAAAAAGAGTCATACAAATCAAATTTTTTTAATATAGGTGAGTTATTTGAAGGAATGTAAACAATTGTTTTGGCAATTTGGTGGTATTTTTCAAAATTGCAGTAATATCATTCTCCAATTCAACTTCATTCCGTTGTACTTCATGTGCATGTCATCAGTCAAAATGTGCCTCACTGTTAAATTGACCCCGCAGCAGAGAAACTGAGGAGGTGTCCCCTTTGCCATTTGGTGGTCATGGGTGAGCAAGAGTGGCCGATCCGGAGCCTTGTCAGGATTCACTCTCAACTTATTGTCTCTTAAAACATGCCAGAGACCCTGCCATTTCTCCAGAGCCTTTCTCTTTACCAAAGCTACTACTTCTTTTGGAAGAGCATCCCCTAATGGAGTTCCTTCCGTGATTGCTTGTTTTGCCTTGATATCGGCTAGCTCAAATACCTGTAATACCTGAGTGACCCGGTAACCACATGAAAGAGTCAAGTAAACAATAAAAAAACTAACACAAATATAGCGGAATAATCTCGATTGTTGTAAGTACCAGTTATCAGAAATCCTGACTCATATTTGCAGGTACATATTGTCCAAGTGAGCATTCCAAAACAAAAGCCAACCAAAATGTAATCAAATTTGACCCCATTTAACAAATCTCTATTATGTGCTCTTTATAATTTTATTAAATGACTCAAAGATTCATATTACAAAAAAAAAGTGTAAATTCTCAACTCTACAGCCACTGTAATAGTCAGGATAAAATTAAAAAATTGACTTCAAATTTTATCATATTATGTAAATCTATAATAAACGATTAAAACCGTTTTAATATTTTCTGTATGTTGAAAAATGTATTGTAGCAGTAACGTTTAAAAGATTTATAGACAATTTTTTAAATATTTTTACCCAAGTAGTTGAAGCGTGACGAGGGTTATGTGTTTGGGTTGTCCCCTAAAATCCATGTAATCCGTTTTTGAGAGGATCTCTGGATCGAATTTTAAGTTTGCTGGCTCATATTATTGTGTGAGAACTCATAAGTGTTTTGACACAATTTGAGCTAAAAATATTGACACATTATTAAATAAAATGTGTATAATCAATATACGGAAAGCACCATAACTCTGTTTTGAACGAGCAGCTGAAACAATTTTTAAGTATGATGATTCAAATTATTCGGTGAGATCGCCTGAGAGTTTAAAAACTATTTCAGCTAAATATATTCTCCCGTTATTAAATAAAATGTGTTTAACCGATTAACAAAACGTTTTATGACGCTTTTTTGAGCGAACAACTAGATCGATTTTTAATTTTGATTGCTCAAATTATTCGGTGAGATTCCGTGTCTGTAATAATTCTGTCAAATTACTGTATAAAGTCTGTTTAACCAATCAGCTTAAAGATACATACAAAAAAGATACATAAAAAATTACGTAAACGTTTTTTGAGCGTATTACATGATCGATTTTTAAATATGACGCTTACAATTGCTCAGTTAGATCCCGTGAAACAATTTGAGCTAAAAATTCTGAAAACAATGTTTATTATAGTTTTTTAAAAATTTATTTATTCAGAAATATTGTAATAAATTAAGAGCATTTATAATATTGTTCAGAGAGCACATTCACACTCTATTTACAATAAATAATACAGACACTCATAATAATAAAAACGAATGTATATAAACAAAATAACTGAACTAATCAAAATAACAACTAAAACACATGCATACTATACAATATTTACAGAATCCATTCACTCAGAAAAACTCCGAGCCAAGTCTTTCTTCCCACTCGTGGAAGGAAAGGCAGGACTCTAGGAAATCATGTAATCATACATATTTGGCATGAGTGGAGGATCTGGCCATTTCCAAAACTCCAATATATGCTTATTCACAGAAGGTCTCTGGGATTATAGTTTCAGTATCTTAATTAGTATTTTTTTTTTTATTATTTCAATGGAATTTACAACTGTATTACATAGAGAATACAATAAGTAAATGAGAAATTTGTAACATGGCATGTACAACATGAAGAGAAACTACCCATTGGTAGAACTCAAATAATTAGTATTTAATTTGAAATTTTATCATGTGATCATAGGTTATGAAAATGAATTGTTAATATTTTAAAAACTAAAAATGTGAAAATTAAAATATTTTAATTTGAAAAACAAAAAACCCGACTACAGAAATTGGAAAATTGTATGCACCCTGAAGAAATGTACTTCCTTATCTACTGAAAAATTTTGCTAGATTGATAGGGAAATTAACATCTACGAATATTTAAACATGGGTGAGTATTCGGGTTCCTATCACGCTTCAAGGCTCTTCCGGATGTTGACGTGCACCGATACATGGGACGAAATATATTTGCCTAGAGACGTCATGTGTAGTGAAAGGAACCCGAACACTACCCCAAGTTTAAATAATCGTAGATTTCCAATTTCCTGATCAATCAACCAAGATGTTTCAGTAGATATTGAAGTACATTCCCTTAGGGTGGAAATTCCCAATTTCTGTAGTCTTTTTTTTTTAATTAGATTTTTTTTTATAGTTAAATTTATACCTTAGCACAGGTGCTAATCTTAATTATTCCAAATAAAAAAGGAATTTTTTAAATAAAGAATGGGTGAAAAGGTGGTTGGAAAGTACGAGTCATTAAAAACGGAATCCTCTTTTGTTATTCAGTTCTTGTTCGAGGGATGAAACAAAAGAAGACTAAGGATTGTAGAATTAGGTAAAATAGGGGCCAATAGAATAAATTTCTAGTTAGCACATTTTGCCTACGGGGAGAGGGGAGGGGCGGATTAAAAGCTGACAGCAATAAAGATCTCTCAAGCTATTTCTGTTGAAAAGAGAGAAGAAAGGGGGAATGAAGTAGCTACCCCTTGTAGTAAACCTCTCTCATTGAGAATTTAATAGACTGTTTTCTATGAACCATGGCACTACTATTTTCATTATTAGTTTTTTTATTTTACGTTCCTCTAATGCATATTTACTTAGTATTTTATGACTTATAGTACTACAAATTTGTAATGCAGAAATCATCTTTTGTATCTTAAAAAAATTAAGTTTAGTGTTTGGGTTATTAGAGAAACGAAAAAATATATATATATTTTTTTTTTCAAAATACTTTTAGAAACAGATGTGCAATGTAAAATATTAGGTTCCTATTTTTTTTTACCAATACAACGTCTAATATGTTAATTATATTTTTATTTAATATTTATTATACTTTGACTGCATATTTCAGATTAAATTATTTGTGCGGAATTTCCTTTCAAATTTTTCCAGTGTTCTTTCTGGGGTGCTGTTTATTGTTTAGGTCTCGCAACCATAGGCCAGAAATGGCTTTTTCATACCATTGTTCACAGTTATTCGTTAACATATATATATAGCATTTCCAAGTCAATTTCAACCTTTTCCAAATCAAATTCAACCTTTTCCAAGTTAAATTAAACCTTTTCTATTTGAAATTCAACCTTTTCCAAGTCAAATTCAACCTTTTCCATTTCAAATTCAACTTTCGAATTTTTGTCAATTTTCGATTTTTTTTCGAAATGAAGGCCACTTACTATATTATCGAAGGCATAGCTTTTGAAAAATACAAAAAAAAAATTGATAACGCGGTTGCATATCCATTTATTTTAACATTTTAGATTTTTTCAGTTTTTGAAAACGACCTCCATTTTAAGATTAGGTCACCGCGTTTCGATTTCTTTGAGTTTTTCGGATTTTTTTCATATGAGGATGTATTCTTATGTTTCCGGAGCCGTAGATTTTGTTGAAAACGACCTCCACTTTAAGATTAGGCCACCGCATTTCGATTTCTTTAAGTGTTTCGAATTTTTATCATAAAAGAGTGTGTTCTTATGTTTCCGGAGTCGTAGATTTTGAAAATGACCTCCATTTTAAGATTACGCCACTGAGTTTCGGCTTATTCAAGTTTTTCGAATTTATCCAATTTAAAGGTATACTTTTATGATGCCGGAGCCTTAGTTTTTAAAACGACTTACATTTTAA